GGACAAGTTTGGAACAAAGAACACCATGCTTGGATTGATGAAGAGCCTTGGTAAGGAGTTTAGCAGGTTGATCAATGGAAGAAATATTACAAATTTGGTGATTGCCAAGTGCCACTACTTTTCACGAATAAAATGATGGACAAATCCAATATGACGTGCGAGAGTACTAAGAACTGAATTAGAAGGGAGATAAGTCACAGTGTCGCACTAAGATTATCAAATTGCAAAAGAACTAGAAAGGATAAGAACACCAAACTCGTGTAGGATGAAACAAATCCAGGTGATTTCGACACATACATGAGAAAGAGAATGATATTCCAATCAACACCAGAGACATGATTGACTGCTTTTTACAGCACTAGGATATGAGATTCCAGCCATGACAACATGTTAGCCAGTGGTGTAACGACGAGTGTTCAGACAACCGGTCCAATCAACATCAGAGTAGACAGATAAGGTTGTAGAAGCAAGTCGAGCAATCAATTTGAGGCCAAAATCCAAAATACATTTTGACATAACGGCAACTGTATTAATGATAAAGGAAATATCAGGCGAGTGAGAGTGAGATACTATAAGGAGCCAACCAACTCGCGATACGAAGCAAGAGAAGCCAGGACGAAAAGTTTGGTGGCAAGTGGCGTAAAATCATGTTTGCGCTTTGATGTCGAATTGTTGGCTAAGAAGAGCTATGAACTGAATAAGAAGAGCATCGGAGCTGCATGTGATGACAATATCATCAACATATGGTAACAAATGAATAGTAGAGGAGGCATGGAGAAAAATAAACACTGAAGAATCAGCTTGACTTTGCCGCAAACAAAAAGGAACTGATCCAATGGAACCACGCACGGGGTTTTGCTTGAGACCATATAATGATTTTTGAAGATGACAGACATAATGTGGACAAGAAGGATCTACAAACCCTTGAGGTTGAGACATAAACATTGATAGAGATTTTATTACACACGCAAACGGGTTAAAAATTCCTATATTACTTGCAAGAAAGACAAGGTTGTAGTATAAACGGTTCTCGCGAAATTGTTCGCCACAGGGATTATTAAATAATTTGAAACAAACCAAATTCCAATTAATTATTGTAAAACAGAAAGTTGAGATGATTAGTTTTATAACCTACTTAAATTAAAACGAAGTTAATTAATAAAAATAAACTAATCTGCAATATTAAAGATGAAGGGGAAAGAAAACTGTTTTGGAAAAATCAAATTAAGAAAGTATTAGGGTTCCACCATCACCTAGCAATCCTATGTATTTTTACCAATTACTTATGGTCTACACATGCCACTTTCAAGGTTAGGTTTTCCTAATTTATATTCTACTTGGAACCTCCAACATAGAATGTATATCCAACATACAACCTGTTCGGACGTTCGGATCAAATCTGAACATGGGAGACTCATTATGTTTTATGAAAACCCTTTGAAAAACCATGCAACCCTTAAGACGTAGTGTTCATCTTAAGTGAAATTACAATTATTAATCACAAGAAGCCAGCATCAATTTCAGGGAACCTTCCGACCAAAACTGCATCAAATTACTTTTCTAAATATCCTAATGGTGATCATGCATTAAGACAATTAGATAGTTTTAATCACGATGATCAATAATTCAAAGTATGCATGCAATCAATCATAATCAATTAAATAAATAAAAATTACATATTCATGTTAAGGCTTAAGGTTTCGCCCTAGCAAAAGGAATTAGTTACGCATATTCATAATTGAAATCATAGAAAATATTATTAAGAATAAAAGGAATTAAAACACCTTAAAGTAGAAAATCTCCAAGAACACTAGCAATTACTCTCTGTCTCCAAAGTAGCCTAAAATAAAACTCCCCCAAAACTAGAACCGGCCAAAGCCTTTTAATATCTCCCTAAAGCTAGCGCACAAACCCTAACAACCAAGTATTTTATTCTCACTAAGAAACTAAATAATAATAAAATAAAATAGAAAATAAAGTCATAATTAAACTAGGAGAATCTGCCAAGTACTTGTCCAGCCACGTTTTAGCTTCAAATCTCCTCCAAATCCCGCCCATGATAGGTTGTTTTGAAGATCAGGATGTTCTAAACACATCTCCAAAAGGCCATGAACTCATCCGAGATCATCTTGGGCTCCAAAAACGCAAGTTAAGCCCAAAACGTCACTATTCCAGCACTGCACATTGCTCCTTTATTTTATTGCCAGAAAATTATCGCTTGGTAGAAAAATCTGATATTTTGATACGATCAAGCCAAGTGACTCACGAACGTCCTCCAATTGGAATTACCCCAAAATTCGTCCATTTGACCATGTTTTGCTCCAGAAGAAGTCGAAAGTCCTATATTAGAAATACAATTCAAAGTATCAAAATTCTTCTAAATTATTAACCAAAGTATACTAAGAATAGGGTAAAATATATAATATGAAATTGACTCATCAAACATCATCCTAAAGACAGCCATGGAGGAATGCATTTTTCACATTTAATTTAAGAAACGGCGAATGCACAAAAAATAGCAAGACTCAAAACATTGCAAATAGTGGCTAGTTTGGCAACATAACTGAAGGTCTCAAATAGTCAATGCCAGGTCGTTAATGAAAAGCCACGGTCACAAGGCTAGTTTTGTAGTGTTCAACGGAACCATCTGGATTTCGCTTGATACGAAAAACGCATTTGCAACCAAATATAGTCTGAGCAGGTCGAGGTAGAACAAGAGACCACGCCTAGACATTAGTTTTCTCATTCACGGCACCGTGCCATTCCGAATGCTTAGAATCCTAAGAAAAAACAAGTGAACTTACCGGAATTAATAGATATTATAAAAGTAAAAGAAAGAGGAGACCGGACAGTGTCGTCGTCAGTGAAAATCATAGGTTTAGAGATGCTGTCGCGAATGAGTGTCACCATGGGATAAGTAGAATGCGTGACTAATGAGGGAATGACCAAGAAGGGGCGCTGGGCACTGTGCATGCGCGGGTAGATGAGGGAATGACTAAGGTAGAGGCGTACTGGGTTGCGCGTTAGATTGAACACAAGGGGAAGAATCGGCTGGAGAGAGGCCACGGTGCATGCGCGGGTATGACAGAATCTTGCATGAGAGGCTCTGGGCTGGAGGTGGAGCGCACAAGATCGGAGGTGTGGTCAGTGGCTAGGATGTGACGGTGAAATTAGGCCTGACAGTAGCTGGGCTCTCGGTGGTGATTCATAAACTCGTGGTAGAATTACGTTAGGTGCGGGCTAAACAGATGTGTGTTGTCCAAATGATGAGGTTGGTGAAACGGCCCATTGTAGCAATTTGGTGTAGTCACAATCTTATTGTGAGTACTATTAACTTATGAAGACATATGGCTTAGACCGATACATATGGTTCAAGATGAGGAAATCAAAGACGTCCAAACTCCAAAGACAGGAAGATGTGAGTCGGTCGGAATATTCATTAGTAAATAAAACATAAAAACGAAAACCAACTGAAGTAACATGTGAAATCCACACATCGGAATGAATAATATAAAATAGAGAAAAACCACAGATTACTATTAATTTAAAGGGTAGTTGAGTTGGTTTAGGCACAACCCATATAAAAAGATTTATCTAATTTGACATCAAGACCTAAACTAGAACATAAACAAGACATGACATTTTTATGAAGGATGACCGAGTCCTTGGTGCCAGGTGTATGAGGAGATAGCAGCAAAAGCGTGGAGAACACTGGAGATTGAAGATGGCAATGCTAGAGGGTAAAGCTCATCCTTACAGCGCCCTGAAAAAGGTAGAAACTAGTGCATATGTCATAGATGGATAGAAGTTAGGTCGAAAACAAAACAAAAGGAGCTTTTTTTTTTTGTAAAACAAGCAACCAAAAGAAGATTTTTGCGGAATTCAAAAATGAGAAAAATATTGCAGATATGGAATTTAGTGGGACGTTATAAGAATTGTACTAGTGTGAACAACATTCATTGAATTGCCGATACCCAAATAAATATTGACAAACCAAGATAGGGTTGCGGTGTAGTAAGAGTGGAAGATTGATCTATCATGTAAAGAGTATTTGGTTGCCAAATTCTAAAACTTGGGTTTTTTGGTAAAGAAGATTACATTAATCGATTTTCATTCTTATGAATCATCTTGATGAGGTGGGTCATTTTCAGAAACTGTTTGTGATAAACATCCAATTATAAATTTGGGTTTTGCATCCAAATTTTGGTATCTCCCATCGGAGATGGTGGCTTTTGGTGTAAATAAAAAATAAAAAATAAATAAAATAAAAAAAAAGGATAAATAAATGTCAGAAGTGGGATTTGAACCCACGCCCTCGTTAGAGGACCAGAACTTGAGTCTGGCGCCTTAGACCACTCGGCCATCCTGACTTGATATTAATGTTTTCTCTCAAAGATTTATTTAACTGCTTAAAAATATGAAACGAAAAATCAAACAGCTTTGAAACTTTTCTTCTTTTAATATTATTTTTAATTTTATTTATCCTACCACATTTCAGAAAGAGATCATCTCCGGATCTTTTCCATTAAGAGCATCGAATCAAGTGATATAAGCCTTTCAAATTTCATCCAACGACCAAAAATTATTACACCTATTAAGGAATCAAAACAGGTGGACCGCTGGATGAAATTTCAAAAGTCGAGATGACTTAATTCGGTGATCTTGATAAAAGAGATCGGGAGAGGATCTCTTTCCCCTCACTTCCGACTCACATCTTTCACATGCCGCCTCCTCTCATTTTATTCCGTGTAGTCTTCTAGTATCCTAGTTTTTGGGTGAACCTTCCAACACCCTTCTTGTTATGCTCTATATAAGAAGTCCTAGTATTATAAATTTTATACCATTGGGCATGCCACATATATGTATATTGTCGAAGTGTGTGACTACACTACAGTAGCTTTAAATCTCATCCGGTTCATTTCACGTCCCAAAGAATACAACTTGGTATTGTAGATTATCGCGATATAGATATAGATGCTACATAATACAGTGACAAAGAATGGGGGGTTTATGATAGCTTCTTTATAAATCAATAGTGTCTAATCTACAGGCCAGTGGGGAAGAGAAATGAAAAATAAGAAGGAAAAAAAAATATCAGACAAAACAATCCAACAAAACTACAAGAGCCTGCTTTGCTTTGCTTGCTGTCTTGGAACATCTTCTTTCCCAAATTTTCTTCATTCTTTCTTTCTTTTACCCTTGGTTATACATCTTACATATGAACAAGGTATAATGCTGACCTTCTCGACGTTGGACGGACTTGAATTCGATGGTCAACCTCTGCGACTTAACTACGTTAATTTAGTGGACTTCAACTGCATTCTGCTGAAATTTTCTTAATCAACATCATCGCTTAGAGAAAGCAAGCAGCTAGTCCTGTAGCCTCTAACCTCCGAAGGGAATGCAAACCGCAGATCTGGATAGATGCTTCTGTTAAAATGGGATTCGCCACCGATGAATGACTCCCAAAGTACATTTCTTGTGATTATTTCATTAAATCTAAAAATACGAAGCCATTCCAAAGACTGTGCAAGAGCATCGATGGTAATAGATTCCTTGACCGTGCAAATACAACGCCCATCACCACCCCAAGGAAAATAAGTGGTAGAATCCTCTGTACATTCCAATGTGCTAAAGCAAATACAACCGAGCTCACCAATACTGCAGACCATACGGGCATGTACTTGGTTAAGGAAGGCAGCAAGAAACCCCTGAAGAGTATCTCCTCCCACATGGGAGCACACACTGAAACTACTACTGCATACATTGTCATTGCCACTGGATCGCGTGCCATAATTGCTTGCTCAACACTTGATATTGTGACAGGGGTGGACGGCAAAAGAGGGAGCAGACTAAGGTTGAACTGTGAGAGCCGATTGACCAGGGGAAACATAAGGCATCCAAGAGCAACATCCAACTGCCATGTCCCTTTCAAGCTAAATTTAAACCAATCCGGAGGAAGAGGGCGAAAACGAGATAAGCAGCGACAAATTATCGTAATTCCAACAAGACCTTCAGTTGCATCAGTTACCAGGCTAAATAAGGCTTGTCCTCTATTCGTTAATGATTCCCTGCTGAAACCTGCCACGTGAGCTGCAAATGGAACCATCCAAGAACCTATGAAGCAAAAAGCAGCAACCCATAGTAGCATGACCTGCATCATGTATATGTCATATCAACTTTGCCAATAACAAAGGGCAACAGTCTCTTTCTTTATTAAATCCTAGTTATTAGACACCTTATCTTCATAATTTTTCTTTTTTTTATTCCTCCGTAAAAACTTATCCTTTAAAGTAGACGATGGATGTGACAGCTTGGAATCCATGACTATGGCCTAGTTGCATTCGATTTGAAGTTTTACATTACATAAATGAAACACTTACCTGCAATATGGTCTCTGCTGACCAAGGCACACTCCAACGACTCCCAATTGCTCTAGACACTGCATCTGCAGCCTGAGATATAAACCCCCAGAAAAGAAAAAATGAGAACCTTGATGCTGCCTTGGATATGTTTTCCAGATCAAAGTGATAATAGTGGTTACAGGATATTTCCTGCCACATTTATAACAGTCCATTCTTGTGCATGTGCGTGCATATATCATTTATTTCACTAAATCGGCTAAGCAACAAGGAAATTGGAATCAACATATTCATTTTTTCACTTCAATTTTCTTGACAACCATTGAAGCCTTGATGCTGCCTTGGATATGCTTTTCGGATCAAAGTGATAATAGTGGTAACAGGATATTTCCTGCCACATTTATAACAGTCCATTCTTGTGCATGTGCGTGCATATATCATTTATTTCACTAAATCGGCTAAGCAACAAGGAAATTGGAATCAACATATTCATTTTTTCACTTCAATTTTCTTGACAACCATTGAAGCCTTGATGCTGCCTTGGATATGCTTTTCGGATCAAAGTGATAATAGTGGTAACAGGATATTTCCTGCCACATTTATAACAGTCCATTCTTGTGCATGTGCGTGCATATATCATTTATTTCACTAAATCGGCTAAGCAACAAGGAAATTGGAATCAACATATTCATTTTTTCACTTCAATTTTCTTGACAACCATTGAAGCCTTGATGCTGCCTTGGATATGCTTTTCGGATCAAAGTGATAATAGTGGTAACAGGATATTTCCTGCCACATTTATAACAGTCCATTCTTGTGCATGTGCGTGCATATATCATTTATTTCACTATATCGGCTAAGCAACAAGGAAATTGGAATCAACATATTCGTTTTTTCACTTCAATTTTCTTGACAACCATTGAAGCACAACTGCAAAGCGAATGTAAGATAATCTGTTGTCCTAATCATACACCCTATTATTAGTTCCAGTCCTTAAGGACATATGTTCCATACAAACAACCTACCCTAGGAGTTTCACTCACAAGGCCCACAAGGCAATTTGCTCACCAAAACTAACATACCTGAAGAACAATACAATTTATCCTTGTTTTAGAAATGGCTACTGCAGGTTGTTACTGCCTAAAATTTCCATTAAACAACCATACACTCAAAGTGCATAAACTTCGTCAGTCACCTTAGTATCTTAGTATAATTCAACTGCAAGTGTGAAAGCTAAAGAACTCCTTCAAAGTGATGTGGCGAATATTGCAATAACATTGAACACTACAACCTTGATAGCTTATACTTTGATGTAACACTACTAACTTATGTAGATGGATCAACAAGGCAGTACACCAACATGTCAGAAACTAAACTTCAACCTAACTGGTAAGTCCTAATAATTTCAATAATATTATAGAACGAAATCAACATTTACTATAAGCTATTCACTATCCAGTTGCTTTACATACCACACGAACAACCCGAGATTCTGAATGAATAAGCAATAAAGCAAATATGACTTTTAACAGAACAAAGAAAGAAATACGACCTCTCGAAGAGTTACTCCCCAATCCCTTTTAACCACCTTAGAATCATCAAACTCGGACTTGACAACTTCCTCGGGCAGCAAGTGTTCAATACATTCCGATTTCGGTGTATCTGAAGAGAACTCCTCTTGCCTAAAGCATGAAATTCTAGTCCACCTCTGCAGAAAAATAACCCGGATATGTAAACTTCCAAATACAAATTTAATCTCATAACATGGAATTAAAAAAGGTCCAAAATTTTCAATTTTTCATGCGTTTGTTCTTACAATTACTTCTATGAACAATCATACAGCTCAATTAAATAGTCAATAGGAAAAAAGTCCAAAGTTTGTCCATTTTTCGTGCATTTTCTCGGCAACCAAAGAGTGAACAAGGTGTAAACTATCAACACGAAACAGGAAATCCAAAAGTCGTTACCGTATTGGAGGGTCTGGATTGAGATTCGAAGATCCTAAAACTCCGGGAAATTGGATGCAAAGCTCCGGGTCGGGTCGGAAGCCTAGCTCCGGGGGCGGAGGAATGGAGGAAAGGGCGGCGGATAAGGGAGTGAGAGCAAGTGGAGCTCAACATGCTGTGAGCGAGTTCTTCAGAGCTCCGGATACCGCTTGCATATCAGACTGGATTGCGAGGGGGTTTGTTTGTTTGGGGGTTTGAATTTCCGTTTGTTTGGCAGCTGGGATGGAGGAGTTTTGCCTAATCCAATTCCCAGATTCCCAGAAAAGAGAGAAGGGGAAAGGGATTTCTCTCTCTAGGAAAGAATTTGAGGAGAGAGAAAGAAAGAAAGAAAGAAAGAAAGTTAGGAATTTGGTACTGCCCGGCTTGCTGCCGAGCGTGTAATTTATGGGTTTGCGGTGTGTTTGGATACAGGGATAAGATTGATTTTCCAATTCCCAGAGATTCTGCGGATTGAGGAAATGGGATTTATTACAAGTTGTTGGTAATATCTTATTTGTTAAAAACCTTATTTTGTCGTTATCTAGTACTATGATCCAGTGATATTTATTTTTAATTGTAAGTCAGAAATCTTAAGTTCGATTCTCGTCGGAATTGAGGAAATGGGATTTATTACAAGTTGTTGGTAATATCTTAAGAAAAACTAATAAAAAAAACTTGAAAACTTTAAGTTTTAACGATAAGGACAAAATAAAGAATGAAATGAATAGTATTAGAATTGACTTTTTAATGTAAAAATATGTTTTTTCGTTAAAATGAACAATACCGGAAGTTTTTCGTTAAAGTTCTCAATATCTTATTGGTTAAAAACTGAGTAGTATTCCTTTTGCTAAAATAAATAAATAACTGCATTTTGCCAACCTATTCATAAAATTAAATTAAAAAACTATCTTATAAAAGGATTAAAATTATGACAAATTTGATAATTGGACTGGATTGGTCTTTTCATTTCCAGACTGGCCGGCTGGATTGCTGGATTGCTAAAAGATAAAGCAGGAAATAAAATATGGGATTAGGAAGTATGAATTGTGGACTTTTTCTGGTTGCTTTTGCTTACCCTAAAGCAAGGGTGCTTTGATTTGATTTGGGGCCCTTGGCTTGTCTTATCTACTACAATTCCTATTTTTCTTCTGTCAAAACTTTCAAATAAATGGCGTTCTGCTTTCTTGAGAAGAGTTTGACTCTCATTTTTTTCTTCTTTTTTCAGATGATCTATCGTGGACCTCATTTGAACCGCACTTGTAGTCCTACGCATTATGAATGAGTTGATAGATGATGAACGGGAGTGTACATCTTCACATTTTATCAGTTTCATTACAACTTGGTGATACCCCTGCTCAATACCCTCCAGGATATTCTAAAGTCCGGCAAAATATGAAGTATGTGCCGTGTGGCTTGAAATCTTGTGGGGCCAATTACAATCCTGCTTCAAATGACAGACTGCACAAATCTGGCAAAATTCAATAAATTTTGGAACCACTTGGGCCTCACCAGTACACCCCCAAACAACTTGACATGGACATGAAGCTATGAACCACCTCCACCCATGCCTTGTGCCAAGTGAGGAAACATATCTTCCATACCAAGAATCTGAACTTATTCACACAAACCAAAAGTGCTTTTGGATCTTGACAAAAGCAGGCACAATGGAAGTTTTCCTGCCATCAGAACATGTATCACTGGAGGCTTGCTTACATGATGTAGTTCATGCCCACGTTGATCAAACAAATATGAGGAATGTTCAGAGTAACAGGGGGAGACCGGCAATTCTTGCGTAAGAAAGAGTAGGCAACATCGATAGCACACTTCTTTAAGAACGATGAATTCCATTTCGCCTTTTAAGTATGCGTGACCTATTACATATGCTACCCGGCATGCTTTGCTTCCACCAGTTCCTGGAGCTGTTCCTTTAGAAGGGAGTCCTTGCATTTTGCATCCAGCAATCCATACCGAACCTGCCTCCAGTAGTTGAGCTTTAGCGCTTCTTGCTCATAGGCGGCCTGCAAGTTCTGCAGCACGGGAGACTTGGCGCTGCTCACAATGGCTGCAGAACTTGAACAGCTGCTCTCTCCAAGGCCAGATGTTTGTGCCATAACCAACGTGCGAAACTTCCCAGATGTCTTTACAACTGCCATGCAGTGGTCCACAGTGCCTTCAGAGGTTCCGGAACCTTCTGCTTCCATTTGGATGAACTCTGCTATGCTCATCACCACATCAATTTCAAAGTCGTCACCATTTTTAAAGACCTCTTTGTACCCATTCCGAACCATACTGCGGTTCATCCCATAAGATTTGGGTCCAATACGACCACCAAGATACCTTTCTTTCTGGGGAACATAAGGAACAGGAGCAGTTTTACCGCAAACTAAAACAATCACCATGTAAAAGGCCAGTAGGTTGGTTAAGAAATGAGTAAATGATTCTGGGACTCCGGTAGACAACTCAGTGTAGATGAGGCCGATTCCAGAGACCCTAACAATGCCAAGACTGGGACCCAGCATGAGCATCCACTTCATTGAAACCTTGTTATGCAAGTCATACAAATACTTCTTCCATGTGCCATATTGCCAGTGATACATAACTGCCAAGACGACTGCAGACTTAAACTAGGGGAAGCCATGTACCTTTGAGGATTCTCACATGCAAAGATGAAAGGTAGACGGCTTCAACTGAACCGAAAAGTACACAAAATAAAAAGGGACAGCATGAAAACCTGATGCCAAACAAGGTTGATGACAAGCGATGCCAGCCACGTCGTTATGATTGTAACAGCCAAAAATGCAATTCCTGATATTAGAAAAGCAGGACAAGCTTTCATTTACAAAAATAAAGAATAAACATAACATAGAAATTTACTATTATTTTGACTATCACTCGAACAAAATTTACTATTATTTTGACTATCACTTGACAAAAATTATGAGTCCTCGTACTTTAGCAATGGAACGTACGTATATGGTTCAGACAGTAACACACTTCTATCATGAATTTATATCTACTTTGCAGACATACTCGTCAATAAGGAGAACAACAGTATCTTATAATTTATTATTTTTGAGCAAAGATAACATACCATAAGCATTTGCTATACGAATTGTCTCGAAAACCAATTGTGACTGCCAAACTGAGGATCATAAGAAACCAACTCAACTCAGGGATGTATATCTGGCCAGGTATCCATCTCTTTGTATGTACAACCTCGACGCTAGGGAAACATCATATGGCATTGCATTACTTGACAACTGAGAATGTGGAAGAGATAACAGGTTGACTGGCAACAATGGTAGCCAAAGGTGCAACCACAAGTACTGGCCACAATAAGGGAGCTACAGAAAAGACATGAGCATTCTTTAGGACAAATAATAGCAACTCTTAATGGGAGCTGCAAGCTGTAAAGTATGGATGCCGGTGCATCCCCGAATCAATATAATCATCCAGACAGCAAGTTGCCTTTGAATTTCTAGAAGCTTACTCGGAACAGAAGCGAAAAAGCTCATAGATACTGCAGATAGATTTCTCGAAAGAAACACAGCTTGTCCCCTCTATTGAAGTATTAGGCAAGGGTATATCACCAAAGAAAATGCAACCTGCGTACAGCAACACATGTTAGTTTTCCCATTGCCACCTAGAACTGCTGATCTAAGCTGCAATAATCAGAAGCATGACACAGAACTAGTGGAGTAAGGTGAAGCCAGCAGGGTAAAATTCAAACATAAGATTCACTTTTCAAGTAGGAACGGGTTCAATCAGATCATGAAACAACACTATTTGACTATACATAATGGTGAAGGTGTCACGTTCTTTAAAGTATAAAATAAAATTTTCAGATTTCAAAAGTTGTTTGAATAACAATTCGTTGGACAACAATCAGAAATGCGAGGTACAGAAGAACTTAGAGATACTCCTGCCAGTTAAGGCTGCTCTTCAGAGAGGGAAAAAAATAAAAAATAAAAAAAGCTAGACAAATTGTGATTATTACTATCAAACCACAAGTAGTTTTCTGCCAACATATCAATCTCCATGTAGGTTAGACCAAGCCTATACCAGTGTATATTTCTCCAAAAAACAAGTTTCATAGTTCTATTTCATTTCAAAACACATTCAGCATATCAATGTCTAAAAATAACTACGCATCCAGACATAAGTTTCACTTAAATGGCTAATGTATTTCTGTCCAGTAATGTTAAAACCTGTTTTTTCAAACCATGATGATGAATCCCAAAGCAATCAACCCTGGGTTGCAAAAAGTTGAAAACAATTGAAAACGAACAATGGTATTATTTTTCATCGCAACTTCATGGTCAACCCAGAGCGTAGCACCAACAGAAAGACATAATTTTGCCAAGATCTGCAAACATGGCTTCAGTTCTTGGAATCAACAAACATTGCACGATCATGAGAAGCAAAAGCTAATGGAGAAAAAAATGCAAGTACTCTACTTACCAGTCGCACATAAAAGAATTCCTCCAAGACAAAGCCAGTCATCTTTTCCTGTCGTCTGGAAGAATCTGTAAATATAATATGGAGAAAGAGCCTGATATACTCTTGGATTCCACTCGATGATATTGTATACTCCAACAGGAGCAATTAACAGTAGCCAAAGGATCATAACTGGAGTGAATATGAAGGGCAACCAATAAAATACAGGCAATAAGAACCACCACACCTGGTTTGTGTAGAAGTGTTAGCAGCGAAAATGGCATGAGATAAATTTTACTGAGTGACGAAAAAATTTCATGTGGAAAGAACTCACCATTATGAAAATTCGTTTCTTGGAATTTAGCCCTTCAACAGACGCAAAGACTGCAAATGACCGGACACTTGTTAGCACAGGCTGTTAAAGAGAGAACAAATGGCACACAGAACCATGTACGCACCTACAAAATCAATCGTTCCAAGTCCCATTGAAATATATGGAATATTTGAAAGGACCAAAGACATTCGTCAAAGAAAGAAAAATCACCTGATACTGCAGGAGTGAGGATACCAACACAAATCACCATGGAAGCTCCAAATAAAACTATAAGAAGTAGACAGGTTTTTGCACTTTTATGTCTCTCAATAAACCTTTTCAATGGAGAAGTGGGCCTGTTTGTATTGGAACAATGGGGGTAGTGATACGTAGAGATCTCCTCATCAGATGCCTGATAATTAGGCAGCAAACAGAATTTCGCATTTCTGCAAAGGAGCGCCTATAATGCAATAACGCCACCTGCAAATGACCCAACCAATACAACCTTAAATCCACAAAACAAGCAAAATGGTTCACAACATCAGTGAGGAC